AATTATGCTCAGTGATGTAAAATTGAAGCGATGACTGAATGAACGAACCTTGGCTGGCGAAGATGTATCTGGAAGTGTACACATTTGTTGGAAGTGAAAAAAATATTCAATGTAATGACAAAAATTGTAAAATGCTAAGGAATTTCTTTTGCAAATAAAAATATACTAGCAATTTTCTATTAATGGTTTATTCAAGTGGCCAAAATATAATGTACAGAAAGATTGCCCGTAGAGTATCGCTACACTGAAAAGTAAGCAACCGACAGCCTGTATAAAAGGGGGGCTGTGATTGGCTGTTACTTACGCGAGATTTGAACGGGACTTACATAGGCGTCGGATCAGATGTAGGTAGGGCAGAATTAAAAAAAATCACAAAATAAAAATCAAAGTAAAATAAAAGGGCATTAATAACAAAAGTAATAAAAATTAAAATAAGTTTATAGCCAAAATAATTAAAGCCCGTACACTACATCAGAATTTAATCAGATTGATCACTCGTCATGATTCCCGGAAGCACCAGTCCTAATGTCTTTGACTTTGGCCGCGCTGTACGACCTCACAAAAGTGTAAAATGAAATGTGTATCAACTGACGTAGACTAGATACCGGAATTGTAGATGCAGTCCACGAATAACATTTGCAGGTGTACCACAGTCGCCTGGGGGCAAAATATTACACTTACATTAATATTACGTTTACATTTTCGTTACGGACGACTGTGGGTGTATTTGAAGTGGCTAGATTCGGGCTACAACTAATGGCGCAATATGTAGTAATGCAATCGATTCTAAAAATGTTCCCCATTTCAAAAGTTGAAATAGGGAAAATGTAGATGAAGAGAAATTAAAGAAATGTTTGGACGACGACTGCATAATTTGAATGCCGTCAAACAGGTGTAAATAAAATAGGTAACCATTTAATTCTATCTATTTTATTCTATCTATGAAAAATGAGAGTAAGAATTATAGTATAATATCGGAGCTGTCTCCACGAAACGCGCCATTAAGTACAAGTCAAAGAAAATATGACGTACATAAGTCATCCATCGTGTGTGATGTTGAATAATATAGACCAAGGCATGTCTTAAACAGCTGGTTTAATAATTTTTTACAAAAATTATCATTTAAAGCGCGTTGGTCGTCGCGCAGTGCGTGTTCGAATTTCATGTAAATAAACAATGTATTTTACACGCGTTGTATACGTCGCTATGAGAAATGGGAAATCAACATGCCAGTAATCGACCACAGGAAAAAAATAACATTGTTGGCCAGCTCAAACCCTTGCAAATCTCAGGTAAACAAGACACACCTACTGTATTTGAATTGCACCTAGAGAAATCACTGGAAAACACCAAGATTAAAACATCCAAATACACACAGAATAAATCCACAGGTACACAGCCGTTAAGTAGTAAACAAAAGACCACATGTCAGTTTCATCTTTGACCCAGGTGATCACGCCCTCAAACAGGGAACACCTGAGAAAAAAATATTTAAAAAAAATCATTAAAATTCAGGGCTACGAACGGCCATTGGTTGATTAGTGGCATAAGACCTACACCCACCAACGTAGTTTCGAAGCCAGATGAGCGTCTCGTCACTGGAGGGCGCTACATATAGGAACAGCGCATGTGTGTGATTAGGAGAGTGTAGGAATGTTGTCTTCATGAACTGAAACCGCCAATATTTAGAAATTAGAATTATATTAATTTTAGAATAGCCAGTTCTAAACCGGGCATGTATATATGCACTCTCTTAAAAGGCAGTATGTATGCCTTCAATAAAAAAACATCACTGCGCATTTGAATATTCAAATTCATGTTTTATTTTTCAAAATTATTGAATTACAATATTAATATCAGATCTTCCAATAATTCCTCCATTACTGTCCATTAACCAATGATGTGATCCAATGAGACCTGTAAAATAAAATTAATCAAAATATAAAGGTTGTGATTTATAAAGTTTAACTAACATACACGTCCCATACTTTAATTCTGATCATTCGTAATGTACTTTCAAAAAGAGTAGCACATTTACGTTCGAAATAATGAAATAAGCTACTTAAAATCCATGACCCACCTCGCTGTGTTTTTCATCTTCATCACCAGTCTCGCCAATCTCCCGAATCTCACTCTGCATCAATTCAATGGCTGTTACATCAACTTTTAAAACAAGTTTTGTCTGGCCACTTCCATCTCTGTCATCGGAGAAGACTCTCACTCTCGCACCAAACTCATCATCATCAATCACTCTAGAATTGTCACATAGTTGATACAGTTCCTCCACTGGTACGTACACCTCTCCAACTAGCACAAGGCTGTCTCTACGTGACTTCAGATCACCTTTAGAATCAGAATCATTCTGCCCATCAAGTCCTTTGACATTAACGTCAGCGAACAGTAACACGGTTTCCTTTGCCATCTTTATCTCCTCAATATTTTTTTCTGCGTCAGCCCCGTCTTCTGTTTTCCCTAAAGTTTCAACGTCCATCTTTTCAGACGCCTCTATATATCCTCCTATTTTCTCTTTCTTTTTTCGGATTATATCTATGTTGACTCCGAAAAGCACCTTCAGAAGTTCTGAAACATTGTCACGATTCGTCACCTCTTCAACCTCAGCAGATATACGTGTCGTTACACGTGCTTTAGGGAAGTCACGGTTGAGATTGAGAGTAAGCTCTTTGTCAGAGTTGTTTTCATGCACAATGTCATCCTCATCCAGGACTCTTCCGTGAACTTTCACAGCAATAAACACATCGGGATCTACCACATCCACTGATTTGTTACTCTTATCTACAATGTCATCGTCTATCTTCTTCTGAGTATCCAAACTGCGTCTGCGCTTGCAGTACAAATAATACAGTGCTCCACCAGCGGCAACCGCCAAAGTAGTTACGAGTACACACGTTGCCTTCCTCATGATGTAGGGAATACGACTGGTCAGTTACTCCAAGTACAAATCACGCTTATTAAAATATATATGAACTGCAAGAATAAACAAATGTATTAATTATATACTTAGACCAGTTAAAGACGGATGACAAACACATTGTATCGGGCTTTTGGTCCCAATTAACAATACTGTAACAACACTTTTTCACACATATCCGGTGATTTTCGGTCGATTTTGTTCAATCTAAGCAGTCAATGTTTTGAGTGGCACCGTGTAGGGTAAGTTTTTGTTCAGGTACAAGCATATTATAAATGCAGAAAATGGGAACAGTTGCGAACTGCCTGAATGATAAATACAAGTCTTGTTCAAAACATAGTGTATGGAAACAAATTTGCACAATAGTTATACCCCCACTCCACGAATGGTAACTCCTTAACGAAACTTAGTATTCACACTTTCATGGTATTGACACTTTCTATCAGATCAGTTTTACTTATTTTATTTTACCGAAGGACCAACGCAGTATTTACATTTTATGAAAACACGCCGATCTGAGAATGAATTAGTATAATGCCGATCGCGATTACATCTTGGCGAAATATAATAAATATTACATATAATTACACATTTCAGAGGCAAAGATTAAAACGTACTCACCAGTTGTAGCTGTACACGAATCTGACAAATAAACGAGAGATTCCACTTTACTACAACACAGTCGCGTTCCGGCGTTCGAACGTGTATTGTGTACGCGCGCGTTTCCCGTTGATTGTCAACTCCTGGCGTATAATCACTCGTCATGATTCCCGGAAGCACCAGTCCTAATGTCTTTGACTTTAGCCGCACTGTACGACCACACAAAAGTGTAGAATGTGAAGTGAAAGATAATATGTCACTATGCCCATAAATTGTAAACTTTATAATGTGTATCAACTGACGTGGACTAGATGCCGGAATTGTAGATTCTGTCCACGAATGGGCCACGAATAACATTTATAGATGTACCACAGTAGCTTGTGGCAAAAAAAAATACACCTAATCAGTCCGTTTACATTTGGAATCAGTGGCGGCGGCACCGGGGGGATGCGCGACCACTCGCACCTACTGGACGCAAGGAATGGTGAGCAGATCTCGTCCCTTCCCCCCTCCCAAAGCAAAATTTAGTGCCGCCGCCTCTGGAAATAGATGTACATGGAGTCTGTTTAATATTGTTTTCGTTACGGGCAACTGTGGGTGTAGTTTAAGCGGCTAGATTCAGGCCATAACTGATGGCGCAATATGTGGTAATGCAATCAGTTCTAAAAATGTTCCCCATTTAGACTAATTTGAAAAGTTGGGATAGAGAGCTTTAGGATTACTCGTTACATGAGGGGAGGCAAGGGGGGTAGCTGGTACGGTTTTACGGGAAATAAAAAGTTTTTTTTACAATTTACAAGAGAAAAAATAACGTTTTTACAGTTTACAGTGTTAAAAAATGGAACATTGAATGGTCCGAAGAGCTCTCCAACTCAGAGGGGAGGCAAGGGGGTAGCTGGTACGGTTTTACGGGAAATAAAAAGGGCTTTTTACAATTTACAAGGAAAAAAAGATGTTTTTACAGTTTACAGTGTTAAAAAAAGGAACATTGAATGGTCCGAAGAGCTCTCCGGCTCAAATTCTCCGCCATTACTGCGCCGTGTGTAAAGACGCATGCGCATATTACCCTCGTAATGCTCTTCATTCGGTTAGAGGGCCTTTTACGTCTTGACATTCAATTTTGTAGTGAATTGTGTCATCTAGTCGTTTTACAATGTAATTTCCCTGGATTATTTTTTACGATTTTTTTTTATTATGATGTAAATTCTTGTACGTACCGAGAAAAATGACACATTTTTACAGTGTACGAAAAAAATATTTGATTGATTACGTTGTACGTCTAGCCGGTGATTACAGAATTACGGAATTTATTTTTTCTATTTACGTTGTACGAACAAAAAATATTGCAATTACGTTGAACGGAAATGACCCTTGCCCCCCCCCCCCTTACCTGCGTCCTACTTGCCATTCGCAAGGGACGCCGGGAACCAGCGAAAACGGGAACCCTTAACATTGCGCCCTCAACAGCGAGGCTTGAAAATGAACATGTGACTTATAAAGTACCCGGATGTAAAAGGAAGACCAATATGGCCGATGCTGGGTTCTTCCGTGTAAGTACAATTTAAAATGAACATATTTTGCACGAAACATTCGCAATGTTGCTGGTATTCAATATTTGCGTGTTCTGAACTGCCTAAAGATCGTATAGTGACTTGTGTGTTGTGCCTAAAGTAGTAACTATGAGTTAAATTGGATTTTTTATGTTCGGATAAGCATGGCGATGGCCGCATGCATCATGCTGTATTCGCGTCCCTTGCCGTTTGGCTTGGTTTCGTTGTTTGGTATAGTAAATTCGTACAGTCTGCTCTCGACCAGCAATTCAACTAGGTGATTTCGCGTCATATTTTAAATTTTCCCTAATCCTACGTGTTCTGTTTGGTGAATATAATAACGTATGATGGTTTGTTTACCGTCATTCGCGGCTGATGTGAAGTGAGGTCAAATTCAGAAAAACGCAAATACGACGATTTCATTCAAATAAATAAATAAAAACATTCAATGCTGCGTCGAAGTTCACACAGTTCGTTCAGTAACTATTGTATTGTGGACACTTAATTTTGTTATAATTTGCCATGTTTTCTTTTTCAATAGGGCACCAGTGCAGAACAAGATAATCGTTTTTGTAATAAACAGAAGAAACTCTTAAAGCAGATGAGATTCGCCGAAGTCCTGGAAAAGAAGGCAAGTAGAACCGAAAATGCGTTCATACACCACCAAAACATAGCGCAGAATAAGATAAGAATCTTTGGAAATTCACTGAACGTTTTCAAATCGATATAAATATAAGCAACTCCACTTTTTGCTGATCAATAATTTTCTTGTTTTGTTTATTTTGTTTTGTATTTTGACCATAGACAACAATGAAGAATTTGGGTTTGTAATAGTTTTTTAGGAACTAATTTTTTTTTAGGTACTACTGGTACATATAAGTGCAATATTTTTGGATTATACATTGCTTGGGAAGCATTTCGTTTGTACCCCTAACACTAGCCCCAACCCTCCAATTCAATTGTACATGTTCCCTCTCAATAACTATAGGCATCCTTAGAAGGGATATATACAATTTTATTGGGGTGCGCTTGAGGGTAGGGGTTGGATTTGAAAACACAAATAGATAATTTATTTTAGTTTTTGGTAATGTGCATTCAAAATTTTAGAATTACAACTTTGACATTTGTTTGTGTTGCGTAGGAAATTGGTGGGCTGAAATCTACACGATTTCAGCAAGAATATCACCACTACCATTTTGTTGTTCCTTGTGTGATACCTGGTTTCTCTGTAGTTGGGAATAAGTTGCATAACACTGCAATGTTTGATCTGCTATATTCTGAGGAACGAACATCCGCTCATTGTCAATGCCTGACAACCATTTTGGTGAAAACAGTCAAAAACTCTCAGAAAACTGTACTTTGAGTTTGTTACGACTCCTGAACACAAGACTGGCCTCTACATGTGCAATATGTATCAATTTGACTGCTCAGTTATTAGCAATGTAGAATGTTCTGTAATGTGCCCTCCACCCGAGAATACTCACTGAACTAATTGTTTAAATTTAATTTTCCAGGTTTCCATGAGCAAAGTGAACTTGGACACCATCAAACCATGGATAACCCAAAAAATCACGGACATTCTCAGCTTTGAGGATGACGTCATCACAGAATTTATCTTCAATCAGCTGGAGGTTGAGGTAATATTGTCTTCTAAGTCATTGCTTTGCCTTATACAACCATTACATAGCAATCTAAAAAAAAATGTGTTTGTATATTTCTGTACTAAGTTAGGTGTTTTTCCCCTCATCCTGTATGTGTATAAAGTAACAAAACATTCCTATCTGCAACAGACTTCGGAAAGTCTAATAGTCACTAGATAACTGCATAAAAGATTGCTGGCCATCCGTGGTATTCTGTTATTTCTTTTTGTAGTGATGTTTTTATGCAGTTTGTAATATTGTGATACTTTTAATGTGTAATTGATTTGAAATCTGTTATTTGCCAATTTAATTGGAGATTCTCATCTGATGTATTTGGATTACTGGGGATATTGCAATGTGAACCTCCATGCTATCATTTTGTTTAACTTATCATTGTGTGGTTAGAAGAAAAAAAAACATTCATTGCTAGATGTTGGTTGAAAAGGCAAAAGCAACTGAGTTTTACAATTTTTTACACCCCCTCCCCCTTCCACTGTCACCATCAATGCCGTGTACCAGTACACTCCACTTATTTTTACTGTTTCATTTTTCATGATTTAGATAATTCTAAAAATATTCTCGTGCCTAAAAGGTGAGGCCAGTAATGTGGCTGGTACTCCATCTTGTACAGTCCCTATGGCTCGCCTCTGCTCAACCATCAAGGTGCAATGGAACACAACTCTAATAGGTCTCACATTATATACAGCAGTACAGTACCAACCTACCTAGTACTAATGGTCTGTATCTTAACGCATCTCAGGCAGTTCACGTTCACGTTGTTTTTATTCTCATAAGTTATTTGCTGATAAAGTGTACTGTGCAGTTGTGCAAGAGGTAATGTAACTATGACTGATCGAAGTTTGGGGTCCTTGACAGAGAGACCAGCCTAGACGCGAATTTGGTGAGAAGTTCTCATTCCAGGATTCTTCTTTAATTCATGTTGTGCAAAAGGCTGTTTTCCTTGTCTCCTGTATAAATATTTGAAAATATTATGTCCCTCCATTAGGAAATAGATTAACCTTGGTATGAATTAAGTGTCTGAACATGGGAGAGGACCCAGGTGTTGCTTTCTTTTAAAATCTATTCTTCATGTCAGGCAAGGGGCTCTTCTCACCGTTACGGCAGCCTTTGCTGTTGATACATCAGAAGCCCACAACAACATCATGGTACTTGTCTTGTGTAGGAAAATACTAGTCTATTGTTAGTACTCATGCTTTGTAACTACTTGTACCTAGCTATGATTATTTTCTATGAGTCGTATTTAATCGCATTTTGTCCATTGAAAAAACTGTAGTATTACCCTGTTTTGTAATTTTGGCAGTTAACATGTGTATATAAACTATTTCAACAAACGTGACTGTTGGCTGTCATGGAAAAATTAACATATGTATATTTTTATATATCTGGGCTTTCGAGTTAATTTACTGGGTGCTTGACTCATGTCTGTGTGCCTATAGTAGGAAATGTTTAGACATTTTTTCTTAAAGATTCCCCTTCCCCTTGTATCTCGTGACAGAACCCTGATGCAAAGACTATGCAGATCAACCTGACTGGGTTCCTGAATGGGAAAAATGCTCGTGAATTTATGGGACAGCTCTGGGAGCTTTTAGTTAGTGCCCAGGAGAATATTGCAGGTATACCTGCAATCTTCCTGGAGAAAAAGAAGGAAGAAATTAAACAAAGACAGGTATGATCTCATTCTGTTTTTCTTGTGTTTTTACTGTCTCACCTATATACCTATACTTGATTTGAGTCGACGTTTGCAGCAGCGTGTATCACTATTATTTTTGTGTGCTAACAGCCGGTTTTTGTCAACCATTGACTGCACACGTGTGCTAAGCATGATAGGTGCAGAGGTTGATAAACAATGGATTTTAATTATCATAACAATGATGACAATACAGTCAATTAACATTCTGTTATGCAGCTGCACTGCAACTGTGTTAACCTTTTCACCATCAGTTCCCTCTTTCCACCACAAATTCACAAAATAGTCCTGTTTATATCTGCACTTTCCGTCAGAAGATTGGGACAAAAATAGCCAAATTTTTTGAGTAAAAAATGAAAATTGACTCAGAGTTTATTTCTAGAAATATTAAATATAATGTGCAGAAAAAGCATCAGTTCTTGGGCATTGAGGCAGTTGCCTTTAAAGGCCCAGGTATATAAATACGGTCCTAAACAATAAGGATTATTTCCCCTTGCTTGTCACGCTGTAGTAAACAGCTCCAGCCAAGCCCCGGTAATAGCGCGTTTTCTCGAACTTACAGGTCGATTATGTCATGCCAAAGTGGATGCATGTGACTATGAATATCACAGCAGTGACTGTATGTAGTATTTATGACAATAAATAGTGTACGAGCTGAGGTTTTGGCGGATAAAAGTCAAAAACTTGAACCGGGGAAAGGGACATGCTACTAATCTGGAATAATTAACTACTGTCAATCAAAGTCACGTGATGTTGGACCGCTGAAACAGGGTGCGTCATAGGCTATGCAAGTGATTAACAACACTCATTAGCATAGTCACACCTCCAATTCACACTTGCCCAGGGCAAGTGAATTGGGCCTTTAATGCCTCTGTGAAGCTCAAGCTCTGAATACATGCACTTTGCAGACCCCGGTGATGTGTTCTTTACCATTTTGAAAAGCACTTTTTCTCTTTTGTATTTTAGCTGGAACAAGAAAGAATAAAGGAAGGGTTGAAGAAATTACAAGACAGGGAAGATATGGAAGATTCCAAATCGGATAAAGAAGTCAACGGTCAAGAAAAGTATGTACTGTGTTATTTCTAACAGTGAACAAATTTAGGGTTTAAAATTCAATCCAGAATTCGTATCGCAGGCAATAGTAAGGTCTTGCAACTAGGGTTACAATAGATGTCCTTCAGAGACATAAATGCTTACATAAACAGGTGGACAGTTTGTTCCACAATTACTGGGGTCTATATTTTAAATGCCAAATAAATAATAATTTGTGTATCATTACATATAATTTATGGAAACTAGTTGAGTGGCACTGAAAATCGCCTACTTATTGATCTTTTGTAGGAGTCAGTCAAAATCCAAGTCCGGTTCTCCCAACAGGTCATCTGGTTCAGATTCTGACAGTGATTCCAGTGCACCAAAACGTGTGATCAAAAAAGGGTCTGAATCACCACCACCTGTTGGTGTGGTTAAATCGGAAGATAAATCAATGTAAGTGTATGTTTAATAGTTCAGGAACCATTATAATTTCCTTTACCAGTACCAGTCACCCTGTGTAAAAATATTCTGTTCTGTTTGAATAAACTATTAAAATTGAAAGACCCACGCAGTAGGCTATGAAGGTACTTTAGGATCCAGATGAAAGTCATCTAGTAAAACTGCATTTTCTGGCTAGGAGACTTATTTATTTTAATGTATTTGCTGCATTAGAATTGTTCTTCTCCAATGGGTATTATGAAATTGAAGTCTAGTGGCCAGTTTCATTTCCTGTGTTTACAAAACTGACATTCACACACTGTGACCAATATCTTCCTGGGACAATCTGCGATGTTAAGTGTGACTTCACACAATGTCGCAAGGTTGTGTTATAACACGACTCTTCTGTGAATTGTTGTCTCCTGAAAACTTTATTGATAATTTATCAAAGCTTATTTTGGTTGTCCTGGAGGTTTTCAGATGGTAATGTGTTAAATTAAATCTCTTGTATGATCCGGGAAAGTTAATAATTCTTTAATCTCTGAATATGTAGGAAAGCTGAATCTAACGACAAGGACAAAAGACGACTGTCTTCCAATGACAAGTCCAGAAGGCGGCGACATTCAAGGTCATATTCTCGAAGCAGATCCAGAGACAGGGATAGGGAAAGAGATCGGGATAAATCAAGAGGACACAGGAAAAGAAGATCAAGGTCACGGTAAGTTCATTACTGTAAAAATGTGGTATTTTTTACACTAGTGGTAGAAGTGTAAACTTTACCTCTGTAATACAGTGAAACCTATACCTAGACAATAAAGGCAGCAAAATATAAACCTGGAGAAATTGAAGAAAGTTAAGCACGTGGTTCACATAGTGTTTAAATTGTTTTTACCATACCAAAAAACTGA